GCCTTTACCCGCAATTAAAAAAATAGGTTTTTTATTTTTAAAAATAATATTTTATTTAAAATTTATTCATCTTATTTTTTGGGGTTAATCTCATTTTGCACCCTGAAAGATCGTTCGAATCTCAATTTGTACCCCCAAAGATTAAAAATCTCAATTTGCACCCTCAAAGATAAAAATTTGTATCAATGTACACCCCCAAATATCAAAAATCTTAATTTGCACCCACACAGATATAAATCTGTATCAATGTGCACCTAAAATTAAATTGATAAATTATACCTAAATCCCCTCGTGTTTGTCACTTAATCATTTGAACCCCTTCATATTTAGAATATTACTCCTACATCTCATGACGTTTATACATGTGTAAACATAACCACTTTTCGTTGATATCTATTAATATAATCGTTAAAAAATATAATTTTACTATAATAAAAAATTATAATTTCATATTACTCTTTATTTTGTGGATTCGATATACTCTAAAGTTCAAAATCAAGTTTACCATTTGAATGTCTAATAGAATGTAGATATTTATATAAAGGAAAATATGAAAAACATTATATAAATATCTACATTTTATTAGACATTTAAATGGTAAGCTTGATTTTGAATTTTAGAGTATATTGGACCCATAAAATAAGGGTAACATAAAATTATAATTTTTTATTAGGATAAAATTATATTTTTTAACGGTTATATTAACAGATATCAATGAAAATGAGTTACATGTTGTACGTGCATAAATGTTATGAGATGTAGGAGTAATATTCTAAATGTAAAGAGGTCCAAATGATTAAGTGACAAACATGAGGAGATATAAGTATAATTTATCAATTTAGTTTTAAGTGCATAATAATACAAATTTCTATATTTGAGAGTACAAATTGAGATTTTTTATCTTTGGGGTGCACATTGATATAAATTTCTATCTTTGAGGGTGCAAATTAAGATTTTTGATCTTTGGGGGTGCACATTGATACAAATTTCTATCTTTGAGGGTGCAAATTGAGATTTTTGTTCTTTGAGGGTGCAAATTGAGATTCGAATGATCTTTCGGGGTGTAAAATGAGATTAACCCTATTTTTTGAGATGTAAATTTATTAATTAAAGTTTTATATTCAAGTTTTATTGTCATATCTTTTTTGGTTGATAGTATTTTTAACTCACTTAATCTTTTTTGTTACATAGTTGATCATAGATATAATTTTATCAATTTTAAATTTTAAAACTTCTTTATCCAGAAACAATAATTGCAGGAATTGTCAATAATATTATATAAGCTATGTATATATATTTGAAAAAACCTAATCACTTTATATAACTTAATATTTCAATTAAAATACTTTCTTCCATAGGTAAAATTTTCTTTAAAACGTTTAGTTCTGAAAACAAATTAATATCAAAAAAACTATCATATTTTAAGAAACACTCAAGATCAAGACAATATTTTTTAAAATTATCATCTTTAAATTGAATATATTTTCATATATTTAAAATTGTTCAAATCTACTATTTAACGAAGAAATAGTTATATCTATTATATATATAAAATAATCAGTTCTAAAAAATTATTCAACAAATTTTGTTACTCCATCATCAATATTCTCATCAAATTATTTTTTCCTACAACTTGTAAGTTTTTTTACGAAATGTAGGTTCTATTCCCATTTCAACTGTAATCTCTTTAGATAAAAATCATAATAATTATGAATTCATTTTCTCTATGTTTTTCAAAAAAAAAAAGAAATGAGACATTTTAATTGATCTATAGCAACATCAATATGCAAATCTTTTGATTGTAAATATTTAATAACTAAGTTGACAAAAAAAAATCATATCAAATAGTCATGCCCAATAAGAACTCCAAATTTCCAATCTCATATGTTGCTAAACAATAAGCTTCACTTCTTATTTTATGTTCTTCACTAGTTTCTCCTAGTTGTAATAATGCATCTTTTATACTTGGAGTTTGAAATTTAATTGCTTTAACACTTTCAATTTGACTTTTTCAACATGTTTGTCATAATGATTTAAGAATTAAACCCACTACATTATCTTATAAAGTTTTTTATCGTTTTGTAGAATAAGCAAATAATTAATATATGTGTTGTACTACTCCGAAAAATAATGTAGCCTTGAGACAAGAGTTAGTCGTATCGCATAGTATTAGGTTTAGATTATGACAACCACATGGGTGTAAAATACTCTAGGATTTATATCTAAAAGTCTTTTTTGTACCCTTTAATGTTTTCATACCCTTGTTCTCGTATATCATTAATATCAAGTTCGAGGTTTCTTATTGCATCTATGAGTTTGTCAAAAACACATTTTTTCACTTGTATTATCTATTTTAAGAAACTCTAAAAAATATTCTTCTATTTTTATTGGACTTGTTAAGACATCTACACAACATAATATGAGACACATTTGTTCTTAATGACTTACATTCAGAGTACAATTGCACAATATTTTAGTTCTTTAATTTTCTTAATAATATTATTTCTAATTTCATTTCCTGATAGACTTATCAATTCATTTTGTATCTTATGTCTAAGATAATAGTTATGAATTTCATAATGTTAAATGCATCGGATGTGTTATTGCATTATTGGATCAAATTCTGCTATCATGTCAATTATACTTAAAAAAAATTTCATTATTTTCTTGATATATTTTTTTTTCTCCGAAATGCCAAATTATTTTTATCAAGATTCTTTATAACTGCAATAATTCTCATTAATACGTCTTTCCTATATTCTTTCTATCTGCTAATTTTTTATTGGATGATTTTATCATTTGTTTCACTTTTTAACAATCATGTTTCTAAATTAATCTAAGTATTTATTTTAGTAATATGGTCATTAGATGTTTCATGGCTTTTAAGTTTAACACTTAGATTTTTTCAATATTTAGTCTCTTCATTAACTAGCTTATTTGTACTGTGATTCTTATCAAACAACTTACAAAAAAAATAAAATACTCTATTCAAATCTTTTGAATATACTAGCCATCTTCTACCATGTGTCTCCCAATTTGCTAATTTACGAATATAGTGTATAGTGAAAAAGATGTTTAGAAAGCTCGTTTTTTGAAAAATCTAAATCATTATTTCTAATAGAATATTTTTCTACTAATAAGTCTCTTAGTTTTGTATTAATATTTTTCTATTGACTTGGATCATAAATATTCATAGCATTATAATTGCTTATTTCGTTACTATTTTCATAGTCTAATTTTTTTTTTGTTCTTCATCATCTATTGTCATATTACATGTTTGACTAGAATTGTATATATTTTCATTATTATCTTTTTGTTGTATTATACTATCATCTTCTAATTCATTGAGAGTAATTATTTGTTCATTTACTAAATTTTTACTTATTTTTTTATTACTAGCAACAAATTTATCAACAAATAATTTTTGAGATTTTGTTAATTTGTATTTTTTTCTTCTTTTTTTTTTGAGTTTTTCATATCTACCCGATTGTTTTTTACTTGTCACACTAACAAAAATTAACTAAACAATCACAAATAATGAAATAATCACACACAATCTATATTAAAAAATATAATAAGAACTTTAAATAAAAAATTCAAAATATAAAATAATAACACTTGGTTTGTTGTTATTTTTTATTTTTTCACAAAATTCGATTATTACCGTATACTCGAAACCAAAATAACCCAAACTTAAAAGGCAGAGTCAAAGCTTAAAAAGACATTGCCCAGCGGCCCCAGCCAACAAAGAAAAATGCCAAACAAAGTCATAGAGACAAAGTAAAGATCAAAAGAAAAAGCAAAGGCAGTTGCTTAACGAGGAGAGAGAGGAGAGAGGAGAGAGGAGAGAGAAATAGGGATAAAGAGTGAATGATTGAGAAAATATGTTAAGAAGTATGATATAAAAATAATTTTTGAATTGACAATTTTACATTACTTTTACCATTACTCTTGTTTAATAATTTTTTTTGATAAATGAGCTTTAGAAATAGGCCTAAACTATCTAACTTAAATCTAATTTTAACTTTTTTGTTGGGTTTAAATTTGTATATAATTGAATTTTTATTTTGGGCTAGTGATCATAATTATAAAATATCGGGGCTAACGAAACAATGGGCCCTAAAACCCAAATTTTGATAATCTTATAATAGGCCCGACCCTATTGCGAGAGAAAACATAGAACAAAGAGACAGATAAAACTATGATAAGCTTTATATACATTGTTTCACGTGATTTAAAGAGAGTGAAGAATTACGTTATAATTAATCTCTCATGATAAACGACTAATATATTTGCCTCAAGTACATCCTTCAGTGGTTGTGATGATGTGAAACACTAAAAGTCATTTAGAAAATTAAAAAATAAAAGAGAATTTATTTTGGACTAAATGACAAAAGAGAATAATATTTGTGCTCATCAAAATCGTTGATCTTATTTATTGATCTAATGCATCGTAGTTATTGGATTAATAATTAGTTCTAATTAATAATATGATCCATTATCTATGTAATGTCATTAAGTAATTAGGTAAATAAATAAGATAAAAAAAAGGTATCCTGAAAAACTTATTCTTCCTATTTTTTTATTGTTAAAATTTTTAACAAGATTAATTTAATTATAAATATTATCGCCTTCGTTGTTTTATTATGACCTAAAAATTACGAATTTAAATCGCAAAAACAAATATATATAAATACATTTACCCATTTTTCGTAAAGGTGACGAGGCCTGGCAAGACTTCGGAGGAATGAAGTTAAGAATGAGCCGAAGGATTCCAACCAAGCAAATCAACTTACCAGTCAACAGAAACCAAAACCTACCATTCTGCCCTCTTTATCCTCTTTTGTTTTTGGGTAAGTTTCTCGCAATCCTCATCGACACATAAGACTACAAAACCTGTTTCGCTTATCAGTCTTCGAGCTTCGATTTCAACGCATACTTTTATCTCTTTCTCTCGGTCGACAACCCTTTTGCTCACCCAATCTTCCGGAATTGATCAAATGGCGAGGACAGGCAGCAAGAACATACAAGCCAAGCTGGTAGGTATGTCTTCCTTTTTTCTACACAATCCAATTAACCATATCGATATACGTATTCAGGCACTGCGAATTGAATGTCTTGTCAAATCTGTATTTAGGGTTTATAGTCAATGTTGGAATAAAATCAGATTGAAAAAATCAATCTACGAGACGTTAATACACTGTTGCAGTCATGTAAATTGGTGGTTCTTTCATGGGTGTAGCTCAGATTTTCAATCTTTCAACTGCTAAAGAACCTGTAATTCCAACACAGAGAGAGAGAGAGAGAGAGAGAGAGAGAGAGAGATAGAGAGAGAGAGCCTGAATGGTTCTTATTTAATCCAATAATTGTAGCTGAATCTTGATATGCTATTTTGTGAGTGTACAACACTTCAACAAATGCACCTGTGGCAAAGACCAATCGTATGTGTTAGTCTTACTCGTTGATAGACTTCAATCAAATCCTGCTCAATTTCTGAGATTGCAGGATTTTTCGTAAAACAAAAATTTTCTTATAGGAGAGACCACTGGAAGTCTTGATTAACTGGAGGGTGGGGGAGAAGGTATAGATAGTCTTAAAAGGTCTTGTATTTCCCTCGTGTTTGTTTCTGGAAATACCTTGTTGGCCTATTACATTATTTGTCTAGTCCTACTCCTAGAATGCTGATTGCTTTTGTTTTTCCTCGGGGTTAAAGTTCGTGTGTGCAGAAAGCATTAATTATTGACTGTTTGGTTACCTATATTATGTGAATGTGAAATGTAAAAACAGGAAACAACATGGACTTTTAAACTTTCGATTTTACATTGCTCGGGACTTTTTAGTTTCTTATGTTTGGGTCATTGTGAAACCATAGGATGGATAATGGAGGTTGGCAACCACTCTTGGAAACTCTCACATTTCTCTGTTTTCCTCATTCTTAAACTTATGTGATTTTTTATTGCTCTGGACGGATTGACTGTGAGTCCTTCCCTCAATTAAACTTTTCTGAACTGTTCAAGTTATGATATTTTTTTTTCATGTCCTTTGGAAGCTAAAAAGTAGATAACGAAGATGCAAAATAGCAGTTTCATCTCTTTTTTTAGCTGCTAGATGAAGAGTTGGGATTCATTCTTTTTAGATGAATTTTCTGAGATACACTAGATATAAAACCATACCTTACTTTTGAGTATTAATAATCCAAAATATCATGGAGATAATATTTGAAATGTGACACAATCAAATCTTCCCAGGTACTTCTTGGGGACATGGGAACTGGGAAAACCAGTTTGGTATTGAGATTTGTGAAAGGCCAATTTTATGATTTCCAGGTTTGTTTTCCTCATCGCACCCTTTATTTTTCTTCACTTCTTCATCCATTCAGGTCCTTGACCTGAAACATAATTTGCAGGAATCGACAATTGGGGCAGCCTTCTTCACTCAGGTCTTGTCATTAAATGAGGGTACTATAAAATTTGATATATGGGATACAGCTGGGCAAGAACGGTACCACAGCCTAGCTCCAATGTATTATCGGGGTGCAGCTGCAGCTGTTGTGGTTTATGACATTACAAGCAGGGTAGGCATATATCACTATATGTTTTCTGGGGTATAGCTATTATTGGTATTCGTTCATATTAAGGGAGGTGAGTCTAAAATGATAACTTCGTGAATATGTGGCATTTTTATTAAAAAATAAGGATAGGAAATTTTTTAAACTGCACTGTGTGATTACCCTTGGATTTGGTTGATGATTTGCTTAGAAATTTTTTAATGTGCACGTTGTATTCTAAAGTATTGGTTCTTACATTTTTGTGATCAATACTTTAATGACTACGAATCCTACTGACCAATAAAGTATATTGTGTTTTCATTGTAGGATTCATATGAGAAAGCCAAAAAGTGGGTTCAAGAAGTACAAAGACAAGGTAACTTAATTAAGAACGAGGCAGTGCCTTACAAAAGAATGGGTCAGTGTCCAACTGATGTAATGTAGTATTTACATTTTATGTTGTGCTGTTGTAGGAAACCCTAATCTGGTAATGGTTTTGGTAGCAAACAAAGCTGATTTAATTACAGAGAGAAAGGTGGAAAATGAGGTACTATTAACTTGATATTATGTGTTTATTGTTCTTATTTTATCAATGCTAGCCTAGGTGATGCCTAGCCTTCATGATATTGTGTAGTTCAGAGGAAGTTCTACTTAGCAATGTGGTCATAGGAATTATGTGCTCGTCCAGTTGCTCATTCCTCAACGCACCGAAAATGGAATATCGGCTGCAAAGCTAATTGTTAAAGCCATTTTTGAGTGCTCTCTCTTTTACCATCAACAATTATAATGTATAGGGCTAAATCCCCCCCACACCAAAAAAAAAAAAACTTCTTCCTTCTCTCTGGAAATTAAGGTATAATAAGAAAATTACATCATAATTTTCTCATGGAAGGTGAGTTATCTTGTTGCAATTTTCTCATTCCACGAGAATTCCTATGCTTTCTTATTGTTGTGTTATGTAGTCTGCTCAATGTGTAAGCTTGTCAGTCGTGAAGAGTGGTTGGAGCTTTTTTGTTTCATTATGTATAATGCTGTAATTTATTAATTGTAGCTCTCCAATGGAAGTTCAACATTCTTTTAGTTTGGTCTACCATTATCTAACTTGCTAACCTATTAAAAGAGGTGGACTATCTTTCCTCTAAATGAGACTTTGTCTCGTGTTGTTGCACAAAAACCCTGCTCATATTTAACGTCAACTTAACAAAGCCTTATTCAATTATCTAGGGTTATTTCTAATGTTGTCTTATTATTCTTGACAGTTCTAATATCCAATGGAGTCCGAGTCCTTTTAGATTTAAGAATGTGGTTGGAACATCATACTTTTAGAGGGAAGTTTAAGGAATGGCGGGAAGAGAGTTGTTTTGGTGGATGGAAGATGATACAAATTTATGAAAAAGATGGATTTTGTTAAGAGCAAGATCAAAGTATGGAATAAGGAGGTTTTTTGCAATGCTCGTGTTATTAAAAAAGGTATTATGGATAAGATTGCAAATATTGATAAGATTGAGGAACGAGGGGGTTTAGATGAGGGATTAAGAAAAGAAAGATAAGTAAGTTTGAGGAGGGTTGTTTTAGAGAGTAGATTAGTTGGAGACAAAAATCTAGGGTGAAGTGGGTGAAGGAGGGGATAAGAATTCAAAATTCTTTCATAGAGTTGCAAATGGGAATAGAAAAAAGAAAACTGTTAATAAATTGGAAGTTAATGGAGGAGTCTTTAGTGAGGAATAGGATCAAATTGAACGTAAGGTGTTGAGTTTGTTTTCTAATTTATATACGGCTTCCGAAGATTGTAGACCTAGAATGGTGTCTCATCGAGAAGAGGATTTCAAGTTGGATAGAGAAACAATTTGAGGAGTTAGAGGTGAGGAGTGCTATCTTTGAGTGTAGCTGAGAAAAAGCTCTTGGGGCAAATGGTTTTACTATGTCTATTTTTCAAGGTTGTTGTGAGGTGATGAAAATGGATTTGATGAGAGGGTTTTCAAAATTTTGGCAAAGTGGTATGGTTAATGATATTACTAATGCAACATTTATTTGTCTTATCTCGAAGGAGGAGAATTATATTAGAATAAAGGACTTTAGGCCAAATAAATGTAAGCAATACTATTTTAGGGTTCCGAGGGAAACAAATTATGGATTTTACTTTGGTGGCTAATAAGGTGGTAGAGGATTATAAGTTCAAGGAAAGGAAGGAGGAAGGAGTTGTTTTCCAGATTGATTTTGAGAAGACTTATGATCATGTGGATTGAAATTTTTTGATTTTATGATGGAAATGAAGAGGTATGAACAAAGATGGAGCAAATGGATTAGTGGATGCTTAAAGACAATGAATTTTCTGTTATCCTAAATGGAAAGCCAAGGGATAGATTTAAGGCACCTAGTGATAGAGTAGTATACTAAAAGTTTATTTTTTGCAGTGAAACTCATTTTATTAATAAAAGTTTGTTCTTTTTATTTTATTGAGAATCAATATGGGCAAAATATTTATATTATATTTTATATATGATATGCACGTGTGCCTTATATTTTACATTGTAGATGATCTGGTGTGTAGAGTTCGGCTGATGCACAGAAGACTAGATAATTGAATCTTTGTATAATATGAGTAAATGTTCACAATCATAGATGAAATTGGACATATCATTAGTATGATTATAGTGTAATATTCTGACATAGTCTGTCTTGACTATAAGAGATTGTTTGATATCTCAGATTATTACACTAGTACACTTTATGTATTGCGTAGACCCATATTGAGGTTATTATTTTTTACTGATATAATAAAATAATAAATATTTCATGATTATTATGATTGCTTATGCTCTTAATTCCTAAATATTTAATTGTCACGTGCATATAATATGTCATTTTAATTCATCAAAGAGTGAGATTCATAGTGTGTTAATAAGTTCGATGAATTGGGAGACGATATTATTTGTATGGTGAAAATTAAATATTAAAGGAAACCACGTCTTAGTATTTTAATGAGTTGATAATGTCCTCTTGAGGAAGCTCATAATTTTTGTTTATGTCAAACCCTGCAGGTGGATTTAATTATCCGACATGACAAATAAATTGAGTGATAAGGTTTCAAGGAATAAAAGAAGTCAATTAAATATAATTGTCAGTGATTTATTTAATTGATGAACATCTGTAATTTTAAATGCTGAGAGATTATTAAGTATATAATAATAAGGAGCTCGAATATAATTTTGAGATAAGGCCCAGGAAATCAATAATAAGTTTTTAGTGGACTGACTTATTATTAATGGATTATAAGATGTTTGTTCTGAATTGAATATAAGAATCCTAAGCCCATTGGGAGCCTGGTCTTTATTTTTCCTTAGGGTTTCTGTCGTAGCATATATATAGACGTCTAGGTTTTCTATTTCAGCATCCTATCTTTAATCACGTTTTTTAGGGAGGCTCAAAGAGAGAGTAAGGATTTGGAGGTCTTGGCAGCCCACACTGTATTTGGATTTTGACGTTGGGGGATATACGACAGAAGGCTGCAAGGTACTTCGAGCTGTAGTTGTTGTTCTGTTATGCGTTCGTGCTGAGACGATATCAATCCCGAGGGATCTCAAAAGTAAACCCTAATTTCGTCTTATAGGGTTTGAGGAAAATTTTTGATATTTGATATATTCGCGCTGTTAACAGCTCTTGAGATTTTCGTTCCAACACCAAGGGCACTTAGCAATGGGATCATTTATCTCATTTTTTGTTTATGGTTGTGGATGGGTTGAGTATGTTACTTTTGAGGGCAGAAAGATGTAATTTCGTGGAAGATTTTATTGTTGGTAGGAACATGGTAGTATTAATATCACATTTATAGTTTGTTGATAATACTATTTTTTTCTCTTCTGGAGATGTGGAGAAATTTTTGAATTTTAACAAGATTGTGGATGTCTTTGGGGTGATGTCTGGTCTTAAGATCAATATGGAGATAGAGGTGGTGATCAAGCTTTATTTGAGCTTAATTTACACACAAACGAGTTTAAAAAAATATTCAAGCTTGACTCTTTTACTAGCCCTATATGGAGAAGAGTATGGTGGTGGGAATTAGTGTTGATCAAGAATAAGTCTCTAGGATTTTAGAATGTTCTGTGGGAGGATGGTCATTAAAGTATTTTGGTCTCCCTGTAGGTGGATGGACATCCTTTGTCGATAGGGGTTTTGGGATTCGGTTTTTAAGAAGATAGGTAAGAGATTAGTTGGATGAAATAAAGCCTTTATTTCCAAAGGGGGTATATTTACTTTAGTTGAATTGGTTTTGGCTAGTATTCCTATCTATTTGTTGTCTTTCTTTAAAATGCCTGATGTGGGGGTTAAAAATTTGAAAGGATGATGAGAGATTTCTTATGAGAGGGCAGTGGGAAAGATAGTATGGATCATAGTTGTTAAAATTGTATGATTCGCGAGTCGAATCGTACAATTCGGTTCGATTCACGAGGTAGGCGATTCGAATCTTATGGCTGAATCGAATTTGGTCTGGAATCGTATGCGAATCGTAGGAATCGGATGAACCGAACCGAACCGAATCGTATGTATCATATGATTCGGTCTATTTTTTTTAAAACCAAAGAAAACATCAAAACGACGTCGTTTCGACTGCTCACGCAGTCAAATGACGTCGTTTTTGCCAAGCTCCCAGACCCTAATAAATAATACAAGAGACTTTGTCTCTTTCTCACTTTGCCATAATCGTTTTCTGTTGGAGGGAGACCCACCACACGACGTCGAAGCTCTATCGGCTCCGAGGTAAGTCGCTGCCTTTTCTTCTTCTTCTTACCCGCAACAAACAGCGAGATAGCCTTATAGCAGGCCTTCCGTCTTCCTTGCTTTGTTTTTATAAACTCTATGATCTGTTTTTTATTGTTGTAGTTTCTTAATTTCTGATTTTTTTTTCATTGTTGTGGCCTTGGGTGGATGATTTTGGCGTTATGAATGAGGGTTTTTGTATATAAACAATATGAATGTGGGTTTTCATTATATAAATGATGCTCTGGTTTTCACTTTATCAATACTCTGTTTTTATATAAATGATGCTCTAGTTGTGGCCTGGGGGTTTTCATTTTGGGTGTTTGTGGTTGTATTGAGTTGTTTTGGGTGTTTGTGGCTGTCCATGGAGTATTGAAACATGGAGTATTGAGTTGTTTTGAGTTACATATTGTCGTTGCTGTCCATGGAGTATTGAGTTACTGGTTTGATGTTTTGTAATGTTGCTGGTTTCAGTTGAGTTGCTCCTTGCAATGAATCAGTTGGTGGTTTATGCAATTTACAATATTAATTTGCACATTCTGGTCTTTTGTCTGTAAAGGATACTATCATTTTTTTTTTCTTCTGGTGAACAGTATAAAATCCTTCATCTCAACGATTTCATTGATTGCTTTCTAAAAACAAACTATTGTAAGATCAACATGGATAAAAAGGCCTACGAGTCTATGACTAGCATCATGCATTATTTTGCTTTATTCTTGTGTGGTATCAATGTTTGGCATCTCTTGCTTTTCAGTCTTTCTTGGTCTTGGGCATAATCAGGTGAGTGCTAGGTCCTAATGCTGGTTGCTGGTTTGATGTCCATGGAGTATTGAGTTGCTGTTTTTATAATGCAATAGTGCTCAAAATTCAATACATTGCTTTTTTAACTATATAGATGTTATTTTTTTTATTTTTGTTTGAATTTTGTGTCGAATCTTATGATTCACGATTCACAAATTTAAGATTCCGATTCACGATATGAATCTCGATTTAACAACTATGGTAGGGATCACTTGATTAGATGGGATATGGTATCGAGAACTATAGTTAAAGGTGGATTAGCAGTGGGAAATTTAAAAGGCGGAAATGTTGCACTGATTTGGAAATGGCTTTGCAAGTTTTCGTCGGAGCAAAATTCTTTGTGGCATTTGGTTATTAAAAGTATGGACTACAAGCTAATGAATAGGATGCTAATGGGGTTGAAAGGGATACTTTTCGAAACTTATGGGAATTCATATCTTAAGGTTTGCCTTCTTGTTTTCAAAGGGTTAAATTTTAAGTGGGTAATGGGGAGAGAGTGAGATTTTGGGAAGATGTGTGGATCTGGTAAGTCTCTTTGGACTGTTTGTTTCCTCGGCTTATAGACTTTCTTGTTATATCATCCTAATCGCATAGCATCAATGATTAGGTCTCATTCTTTCGCGATGTCATGAGATAATGTGTGATCCTCATTATTAATGGAATACAAAAGGTTCCTGGATTTTTGGGTTTTGTAGAAATTTCAATGCTAGGAATTGTTGGAGTTGGTTTCTCTTCTTTCTTTGGTTGATCACGCTACTTTAAATCATGTTACTTCAATGATAAGAGGAGTTGGTCAACGGGGTGTTTTCATGCAAATCTTATTTTGATTATTTGGTTTATGATAAGACTTCCCCAATTTTTTATCATTGAAGATTTTGAAGGCTTAGGTGTCTTTGAATGCAAGTTTGTGCATGGGTGGTAGCTCGTGGGAAAATAAATACATATGATATGATCCAAGAAGGCGTCCATAGCTCTCTCTTTGTTCACAATGGTACATTATGTGCAAAATGGATTGTGAGAATGCTAGGCATTTATTTTTGCATTGCCCAATTGCATTAAGATTATGGAACAAGTTGTTTGAGTTAGCTGGGATTTCTTGGGTAGCTCCAAATTCTATATCATCAATGTTTTGTGTGGATTATTTCGGCTTTGGAAAGAGAAGTAAAGGAGTTAGCTTTTGGAATTGTGCAACTCTTGCTATTATTTCGGTGATTTGGTTAGGGAGAAATGCAAGAATGTTAGATATAAGTACGAGGGGGGTGATGGTTTATGGAATCGTATCTACTTCTTCGCATCTTTTCGGGTATCATTTTGAAGGATTTTGCTCCAATTTCTCTCTTCGGTATCGTGGCAAACTGGGATGCAGCTTGTGAATGAATTGTTTTGTTTTTCTTCTGATTGTAACCATCTGTAATGCCTCTGGTTGGTGGCTGGTCTATGGACGCTTATTACCATCATGTTCTATATTTTTCTTTTACATTACTAAAATTGTGGTCCTCTATCAAAAAACAACTTCTTATCCTCTGATAGCTTTCTGCATGTTCAAAATATTACTGAAGACAAATTCCCTTTTCATTTCTGCTACTATTCTTATTATTAGTAATCTGATTGTTGAATTATATTTGCAGGAAGGGGAGCAATATGCTACAGAAAATGGCTTGCTTTTCTTTGAAACTTCTGCAAAAACTGCCCAGAATGTAAATGAGCTATTCTATGAAATAGGTAACTGCATTAATTGCTATATTATGCACTGGATTGCATGGATTTTGTCTGCTGTAATTGGTGAAGCTCATAGCTTGTCCCTCACCAAGGAATCACATTTATTTAACCGTTTCATTGTATGGAATGTTTTTGGTACTTGAATAGTTCATTCGAGGCAATGTGTTCTTGTAGGTTTGATTAATATTTTAGAATTTTTTGCAGCTAAAAGATTGGCAAAAGCTGTCCCTTCCCGGACAGCTGGTATGAAAATACACAGCAAATCCCAAGAAAGGGGGAGAAAACTATTCTGTTGCTCCGGTTGACCAGATGTGATCAACAGTATGACTGTAAGTGATTTGCTTGAAGCCTATCCTCTCTTATCTTCTCTTCTTTATCTCAGAAAACGGGTAACGTGATTTCATTACTTAAGGGTATTGGGTTTCATTTTTGTTTTGGATATGCCTTCAATGTGAGCCCAGCTGTTTTTTCGTCACATATGACACGCTCATTGTGTTAATTACCTTAAAGGTAAAGGATGGTGAGGGAGAAAAGAAGAAAAGCTTGAAAATCTCACGAGTTTAGCAATGGAAAGGAAGAGAAAGGATGAGATGGGATCCATTAAAGACCATTTTCAAGTTCATTGGGCTGGAATGTCATACCCCTTAAAATTGTCCCAATGCACCTATTTTGAAACTTCTTCAGCCCTCCTACTCCCATGTCTCTTTTAATACTGTAGAAGATGGAAAAAAAAAAAGAGTCAAGTTTCTCTGCTCTTCTCTTCCCCTAACCATGAAGCCTGTAGGCGAGACTAGGTAGCACATACCTACACAATGTAATTCCCAATTACTATTTTTCAGAACCCCAATATTTTACCAATCCTGCTGTGACAGGAGCCTTGTAAATTGGGTTGCCCTTTCCATACATCTTAAGAACCCCGAGTGAATAGGGGGAAAGATAAAGCTGGTACGTTTTCTTACATTTTGTTTATGCTGCCAACTTAATTCTTTCTTACAGGTAAAACATTCTCAAAGATTATGATCCATGAGAAGGGAATTCATTATGGCGCCCGTCCAAGTTGAAGTTCAAATAGCATTATACTTGAGTCATGTTTGTGGGTATTTGGTGTTTCCATGTTGTAAGTTCTCTGACAGAAGCTAGTGGCACATTGAATTGTCTTCCATGCTCATTCATGTACAAGAAATGGTTCTGTGAAACTCAAACTGTGACGTAGCATAGTGGCACTGAAACCAGTTTCCAAAGAAAATTTATCAATTAAGCATAACTTACACATAATTGATAAATTTCATGTATTGGACACGATAATAATGTATCCCCAGGTGGGCAAGATTGTATACCTCAGACCCTCCCAAAATCCCATAATAACTTTAGCCTTGTGATTGGATTGCCCTTTTCTAATGCGATGAAATCAAGCAAAAAAAAGGGTTTTTGATTTGTACCATCAACTAAGGGAATCAGATTTTTTGCTGCATGTATTAGTTGAGATTTTTTGATGCAAGATGTAGCCCTAATCTTATTTGTAGAAAGATTATTACGGTTTAGACTTGGGCCTTCTACACCCGTTTTCACTTGAACTTGTGATGCATCAGCAGGTCACAATGAAACTTGGGTTGTCGAGGATCGTGCCATGTTTAAATTATGCCATTTAACGATTTGTTCAACTCAGTTATTAGTCTACTAGTTAAATTTGTGTCGCGTTCAATTTGTTCTCATGTGTGAACCCTTTTAAATTGATTCGTGTCATGTTTAGTTACATTTTATTCGACTTATTTTTTTCAAGAACCTAACTGTTTGACCTGTATACAATTCTAATTTTCAAAATTAAATTCAAATTTCATATCGAATGCACAGATACCCCTTATTTCTTCACCGATGAATTTAACGTTGTTTCCTAGGAAAAACATAAAAGCACAGTTGTATAAAGTTTGTGGATTTTGACTATGGTACTAAAAAAAAAAAATAGTATCGTACTTTTAAATTTTATTACTTTAATGAATGTTTTTATAGTTTTTGTGATTATTGTATAATAATTTTTATTACCGGTGTGATAATTATTTTTATTATTTTTTTGATACTTTGGATCAAGAAAAAAGTGATTAATGGTGGTGTGGTACGTAAATTTGTATATTTTTTGTTGGGTAGCGTAGACTTCCGCATTTTCACCATGCCCAGAAAACCAAGTCGAGAAAGACATAATGAAAGGAATCATGAGGTCAAGCAAAATGACAGACTCAAATCAATTCAAGGCAGAAACAGGAAGCTTCTTTGCTTCATCGAAGGTCTTGCCATGGGTCGAAACCATCAGGAGTCGTCGTTTTCCTTGGTGGACAAAGACACACGGGGTATTTCAGTAATTCTACCTATAAAATAATAATAGTTTATTGAATTAAATTCATAATCGATCATAAGTTGTAATTTATAATGATTTATTTTGATATTTTGTGATCTATTATACAGTTCTAATTTATATTTTAAAAAATTTTAAATTTTAATAGGATACTACCTTAATAATAGTCTTTTCCAAGACACAACACGGTCGACAGCTTTGTTTTTTGTTTTTTTGGGTAAAATGCCTAGAAATCAGCATAACGTGGTCTTTGGTCGACCACCTCTTCACATGCATCTTCACAATCCCAACACTAAAAGAAGAGTCAGACAGAGACTTGTTTTGTTATCCCATGAAAGACAAAGAATGCCTCTCCACAAAGACACAAAAGCAGGCAAATATAATACAAAAAATGTTAAAACTGACCATAATACTAAATCTGCAGTATAAATGAATGATGTAACAAAACCTAAATAATCAACAGGTATTTCTGTATTGTCATTTCTAGTTCATTTTGGGGTACTAATTGACCCTAAAACAACCCATTATATATCTAGAGATTAACCCGATTTGTTGCTTAGAAATGTGTCACATTTGTGTCAATGGAATAACCATTTAACCAAAAACCTCAATTCTAAGATTCATTTTTCTCTCGACCAAATCGACCACCCGTAAGCCACCAAAAATCTCTATGCTAACAAAACTGTGAAAAACATCTAATTTTGCAAAGATTTGTATAATATGTTATATAATACTAGTTAAACAAATTAATCGTATTAAAATCATCATTATTTTCTCCTGAGAGCATGGTTTAGCTTTGTTCTTAATGTTGTTTCATAGATGTCGAGTGCCGCTTTTTCCCTGTTCGACAATCTCCATTTGTTCTAAGTGGGGGTAAACTATAATTCTTATATTGGGTTGGTTGTTTAAAAGACTTTCTCTTTTTCTTTTGACATTTTGGATTGCATATCTATCCCTGATACTAATCCGGCCCGTTCGTTGTTCGTGTTAAGCAAATCATATCAATTATCAAATATATAGCAGAACTAATCAACTCTATCCTCCACATTGTGTCGTGTGAAAAATTGGTATCATTGCAATGTAATAGACCTGTTCTATAATGGTTGAAGACATAGATACGCAAAAAGAAGTTTTTGCTAGCATAGGCGTGGCTTGGGTTGGCGAGCCAAATAGTCACAGTGGAGGAGGAAAAGTTCCAACAACGGTCTTACTGTTCTCTTTACAACCAGCTTTTCCATCACCAGTACAATATTAACAAACTAACCAGCTCAAAAAAAGTTCACAAGAAGACCAAGAACAAGCTTTGACTACATGACTATGACATGAACCATTCACCATGAAGGAGAAGTGGAAGGAGATCCTGATGAGGAGGAAGAAAGATCACCATTATTACTATTGGAATCACTACCAGACGTGCCAACACACCGACCATCTCTAAGAGAGATGGAACATGCCTCCACCGGTAGCTTCTTCATCGGAGTTAATGGAGGGGTGATTGGGAGTGAGGAGGGACTAGACGAGGGTGATACGTCTCTTGTATCATCGCCGGAAGAATCTTTGGTTTCTAAGCGAGATGGCGAGGTGTCCGGCGTTTCGAATGGTGTGTCCACTACCCTGCTTGGCTGGCCGGCTTGGACGTCGTAAATCGGATTGGATATGCACATGAAATGATGCTTAAGACCTGCTAAAACTCTATTTTCAGAAGTACTGGAATTAGTGCCTTGAAGCGGAACCTTTTGAACTGGTTTAGGTGAGGCTGCTGGTATGAAGGAAGGAGAGGGTGGCGAGGTAGATTGAAGCCCAACCCGAGAAATGGAATCTAGTGCACGAGATTTTTGCCACCATGAATTCTGGGATGGGTCAGATGTACACAGCCCAACCCGAGGGGTGAAATGTTGTTGAATTTGGGATTCATAGGCTTGAGGAAACTGAGAATTTTGCTTCTCCAAATCCAGCTTGTCATCGCCAGAAACTGCAGGGAAGAGGAAGCTTCTTGGGGCTCGAAGAACCCCTTGAGCATAAAAGCTACCCAGAGATGGAGGAGCTGATTGGTCAAGGGGTGGTGGGGGCTGAGAGATGGAATCACCGGCAGAGATGGTGGTGTTGGAAGTTGGCTTTCGAATTTGTCGCCGACGGAGTAAGAGAGAGCAGTAGAGCTCAGCTAATAGCACCAGGACAAGGGATAACACTATGGCCAGGCTCGCCACCATTATTAGTGTTGCTCCCATAATCACCTTAGTTGTGCCCTTCATCTCTCTCTCTGGGAATTTAGGAACGAAAATGGGACTGTTATAAATGGAAGATAGAAGCTTTTTTGGCGGGAAAGAGCCCTGCACCTGTTACAAGAAAGGAGAGAGAGAGGAAGGGAATCTTGTAAGGAATTTGGGACTAGGCTTTTGTTCTGATCAAGTGAAGGCTTTCTGAATGTAGGTCAATTTGGTCATTTTCACAAAAAATGGACTAGTTATCCTCGACTCTGTCACCAGAGTCACTCTTCAGAAACGGATAATAACACATTGACTAACAAGCCACCAAAAATTTTGTGGACATTGACAGACACAAGTCATAAAAAAGCAATGCTCCATTGCTCCCAAATGACGTGATACGATATCCATAATTCAATATTAATAGAATTCATTTATCTGATGATAGAGATAAGTCACGTCATTTGGCATAAAAAAATTAGTAAGAATATTTAGTAAGCATATTATTTCTCGTTATAAAATGTGTTTGGAAACATTCAGTTTTAACACCAATGTACTCGATATAAAACACGAACTTGGTCAGATAAGTTGGTTAGGAGTGTACTGTGCAAAACTTTTTTTATTTTTGGTCGGTCACTATTATAGGAGAGACAATCCACGACTTTAAAGTCCAACAAAAAAGACAATGACCATTAGGCCAAACGCTAACCTCCACCGAGCAAAACTGGAGGACTTGAGTTTCGACTGTTTCTTGGGACCTCCCCAAGAATGTCTTGTATTGGTAACTACTCAATTCATTTAAGACGGCATGTACCCTAAAGGATTAGTCAGCTACTCTAAAAAGAGTAGATACCTATTAGTACAAAAAAACAAAAAGAAAACATCAAGGATTGTATTGAAATGGTATGTCATCATTCTCTGTAGTAAGGTGATAAAATAGCAGCAATCATCATCTCAAAATGGACTATATTGAAACGGATGTTTATCATTAGCAGTGGAAAATAAAACAGTAGCAATCTCACACTAAACTTTTTCTGTTTCCTACTTTTACAACCGAGTACTTCACAAAAATGCAATCAAACCAAGTATCTAGTACTTAAGGATGCAACAAATGGAAAACAGAAAAGGATCAAAGCTAGCACCCCACAGCTGCCAGGCAAAACGCATCTCATTTTATGGACTAGAGGAAACAATGTAGGGCTATACTCTGAATAATGGGGAACTGGAAGGTTCATGCAATTTGAAAGCCAAACTATACCATAGGAATTCAATCATCTGTAATTAGAGGATAACCCTTCCTGGGAGTAAAAGGTTCTTGCAGACTGCACAAGAACCACCATGCAAATTGAAGCGAGGAAATAGGATACGGTCATGCAAATAAGAGAGGAAGCAACTTCTAAAGTTTCAGCGCTCTTACCCTTTACTGCCCTCTCAGGGCTGCAAAACGGGCAGCCAAATCATCATAATCTGGTAACTTGGGATGCACATGTCGTGCCTGGTTATCCGGGTGGAAAGAGCTGACACGAGTAAAAACCTTCGTGGCCTCTGATGGAACAGTTTGCTCACGGGGAAGAGAAACGGATCTGGTGGGAGTAGGAACCATTTCGGACTTCACAGCATGCCCATCCCTGCTTTGATTGTAGTAGTCATCACCAGCATCAGGAGCTATCTTATGTGAAGGATGAGCTTGTGATCTTTTTCTCAACTTTCCCTCGCCATAGGTTGATGGTTTTTTACTGTAATGTAATAACAGTTTATCTATCATCCTTTCCTCGTCATCTTTCTGATAATGCTCATCATTGAACAAGATCTGCAGGTCCTTTCTTGAATGCTCTCTTCTCCTGCTACTTGAACTTCTCTTTGGAAACCCACCATCTTCATAACTGCAGGCATCATCATGGCCAGATGAGAACTTTGAGTGTTTCCTCCTAATGGATCTTGGTTTTGGCAAGGGTATATCATCCTGGTAATGATGATCTTTCTCATGACCATGACTCTTTACTCTAGCAGGTCGACGACCTTGCCACTCCTGGCCAGAATGATCTACTTTACGGTCTGAACTATCAACTGCCTTCCCCCTATCATGGGGTGAAGTATCCATGGAAAATCCATCACCTTCGGAACCCGCATTCTTAGAAACTCTGCCGGATTCATGTTTGCCATTTTTTGGCTTAATATATGGTGGAGGGATTACATTATCTTTTGATTTAACGTAAGGCGGAGGAAGGGCACCACTGTAGTACGATTTTGACTTATCTGCTTCTTCCTCCTGCAGTTTTCTTGTCAAGTTAACTACATTTTGGTGACTGGCATAGTCATTAGACGCATAGGAGGCATCTCCATCATCACTCCTTACAGATTGTCCTACACAAATACCTCCAACTTCCGATTTTCCATGAGAGAAATGATCCTGGCTTTCTGCTTTAGAGACAATATTAACCCTATCACTGTGTGGAAGGTATCCACTATTAATGGATTTCAACTTTTTACCATGAGATGTATTGCTTGATCTAACAGACTTTATGGCTCTAACATCCTTCTCATTCAATGGCCCTTGCTTATCAGCAGTGAATTCGTGCCTTCCTCGGTGTGAAAGGTTATTGATGTCTCCTTTCAGAATAGTTCCTCCCTTACTGGAAACCGGTTGTGTCCATTACTGGGGAACTCCCTTCTTCCAAAGAGCTGAAGGTCCAATTCATCTCTTCTCAAGACATTGCCCTCCGTTCCAGTACACAATCCACGACCATTATCTGGAAGCTTACTGTTCTCTTTGGATGAAACATCCTTTTTATCAGCTTTTGGCAATTTGTTTCGATCCTCAGTGACATGGAAAGACCCATATTTCTTAGGTTGGTCCTGTAAATCAGTCCCATAATATGCGGAATACTTTAGTCTTGATGAGATTTTAAACAGTATGCTCTGATGAAGTTAATTTCTGCAGAATTACTCGGATAGAATAGTATACAGAAGATACTTTGAGGGTAGATCTGATAAATTCCTTGAATTATGAAGATATAATTTGCATTATTTTTCTCCGTTATCAAACTCAAAAAAACAAAGTGCATACCTGGGCTAATGCAGGGGGAGCAGCCATCCTCTTTTCAAAATCTCTCGAGTCCCATTTTATTAAGAATTCTGATGCTATGTCTTGCAGTAGCTTGAGTTTCTTCTCCATTGTGGGAGGCTTCATGGCTATCCTCTCAACGAACTACAAATAAACAATTAAGCTGGCTATACACATAAGCAGCCCTATGTAGTTACTTATGCCATAAGTAGAATGGATAAGTGAAGCACTACCTTTTGATTAGCAAAGTATTCAAACGAATTTCCATATCTCTCTTGAAATAGATCCCTGAGGTCACGCAATTCAGGCAAATCAGAAAATCTTGCAGCTGCAAACATCAGGGATGCCACAACCTCCCTAAATTCTTCAGGACATTCACTGGAAAAGAAAAGCATGGAGAGGTAATGTCAATATCATACTCAAATTGTTTGAATCTGAAGCCTGAAAAATGTCACTCGATGGATTGATGGCAATTCAGAACGAACTCCTCTAAGTTGAGATAAGCATAGTTCCTGGTGCAGGATTATATCAAGTGCCGACATTTATCCCCCCCTAATGCCACCTTACATCTCATTTATCCACTCTGAACTTTTATCTCCAAATACCATTTGGAGTTATGAAAGGGAATCTTTATAACTCATTGTTCCAAATCAAAATGTGTTCTGAACTTTTAAAAATTGAAATGAAACTAGGTCTGGGAGTCTAAAATCTAATCCAAGTCAACGAAGTATGACAGCTTGATCATACATTGTTGATGGAAAAGACTCCAAACGAACCTCTGGTCCAAGTTACAGTTTCAAACACCTCAACAAAATGGATGTAAGCAAAAGGATGGCTGGTCAAAAAGGATCTAAGAACTGAGGCTCTCACTCATCAGATCAGACCACAAATGTCAAATTCATGGGGATAAAGAGAATTCCAATCTTCACTGCCAAAAATGATATAGATTAACGAATTCTTATTGTATTGATCAATCTATTTTACTGGACTTTTTGCCAGAACAACCTGACCAACTGAAATGATAAAGTGGCTGGCTTATAACTGTCCTGAACATGATATGTCATTCTTAAGAGTTTTACTTGGTACATCAATGTCTACCGTTGGCATGTCACATTCGTGAATAAAAAGTGTGCGCAGCGAGTTTATATAACATTTTTCTAAATTAAAATTCAGACAGCATCAACCAGTTGCTAGGTAACAATGCAATATTATCTGTTCATACCTTTGTTTTTGCATGCTTGAGAGCTGCTTCACTATGTATTCACAAGAGTGATCAATATAATCATAACAAGACAAGAGGCTCAATCCAGCAAGAAATTCTTCCGCCTATTTCATATCCTCGCATAAAAGAATACTTTTGTAAGGGAATACTAAAGTATGGAA